ATAATGTTACTATTGTTATAATAATATTAATTAGATAATAATAATATAATAATAATAATAACAAAAATGTAAATAATATATATATATATAATATTGATGATATACTATACGTATACTCTAGCCGCAGTCATGTAGATTCATTCATGCGAGGCTAGTTATCGTGCTATATATACGTTACAGCTACCTATGAAGGTACATATAATATATGCTAATAACAACCCTTGGGATGTCAGGGATTCGAATTGTTATTATGGATTGAGATGTGACATGCATACCTGTATAACATACATACATGCCTCTACCGTGTGTGTGTCGTGAGCAGGTCAGGACGTGACGGCAGCGTTCGATGCTGCGGGACATTCCGTATAAGATGAGCAATTAACAATTAACAAACATACATGCCACTACAGACATTACCTGTACATTATAAAGGTAATGCATACCTGTTATAAACATAACGTAGCATCGCCTGCTACCCGGGGTGATGTGTGTGTGTGTGTGAGCAGGTCAGGACGTGACGGCGGCGTTCGAGGCCGCGGGACATTCTGAGGAAGCGCACGCGATGTTGAAGACTTACACAGATCGTGGGGCAGTACGTCCACGCCACCGGAGACGACGGGTCAGCGCGAATCTCACGACACCAACTACGCGTCGTCACCCCTGCTGCTCGATACAGAGCGCATGCTGGCTGTACTCATGGGTCTACATGCCTCCTATCAGGTAACTGCCTGCTCTTATTAGTGCTGCTGCTGCTGCTGGCTACTGCTGCTATGCTATGGCTCGCGCTGCTATCTAGCGCTTACTACTGCTGGGCTACTGCTACTTGCTGCTGCTACTGCTACTAACTCGCTAGCTGCTGCTGCTGGCTGCTGCTGAATGACCAGTGTACTTGTTGTACGTGGTGGCAGCGTGCAGGGCTGTTACTGTGTGTGTGCTATGACTGAATGACTGTTGTGGCGTTTGATGTACGTGTCAGGTGAAGGTTGTCCGTGTGGTGCATACAATGAATGACGCGTGATGTTTGATTTTTGTATGTGTGTGCATACATGAAGGGTGACGGTGATGTTCTGATTATGTGTGTGCATACATGAATGACCCGTGGATGTTTGATGTATGTGTGTGCATACTATGAATGACGCGTGATGTTTGATGTAGCGTGTGTGCATACCAGTGTTGTAGTGCGTAGTCCCGCACCCCCGAGTCCGGAGTCCGAGTCCCCGAGTCCGCACCCCCGGAGTCCGAGTCCGAGTCCGAGTCCCGCACCACCCGATCAGAGTCGAGTCCGAGTCGCGAGTCCCGCGCCACCGAAGTCGCGAGTCGCACACCAACCGAGTCCGAGTCCGAGTGCGAGTCCGGTGTCCAGTTTTGATAAAAAACAGGGAGGCACAGACTGACAAAGGCCATTCACTTCTATTAGTATGTGTCTTTGTTCAAAAAATGGGGTGGGGTGTTCCTGTCCCCTGGAATCTGTTCAGGCTTGTTTGGCATAAAATGACGAAAGTACATAAAATTGCATAGTCGACCACTTTTGGAGAGCATAATTTGTGTGCGACTTAGGAAAATAACGTGTATGAAAATAAAATAAAAAATAAAATAAAATTGTGCCATTATGCATTGTTTACGCTACGAAGATTTCTATTGTATTGTAGACTGTAGATTAGTGGGCAATCATCCGACTTGCTTGAGATTGATCTGGGAAAAAAGTCGCAACCGCGTGCATCGTAGACATTCGAAAGTGATATAGTCAGCCGAAAACACAGAGACAACGCGAGTCAAGCGATAACGTGTGAAGTAACAGATCCATTTGTGTTTTAACGAGAATGACACGGCTGTGGTTGAACCAAATGAGGCAGAGTGCTAGTACTTAGTACGTACTACCTAGTACCTACTACCGTTCGATAGTGGTAGAGGTCATATAGTAGTACCTACTAGTCACTGCCCACCATAGTTCATGACAATCATTTTACAACCTTTCTCCTTATAATTCACCTTGCTGGCAGCGCAGTAGACGATTGATTAACCGGCTGCGCCTGTATACATTATTAGCCTGGTTTGAATACGAATGATGCGCGTGAATCTCGCCCAGGCCGCGCGATTAAAGCGCGACACAAAGCATCGTTATGACACTATGTATTCAGTGGCCTCGAGCCGGTCTCGGGACCCGAAGTCCTCGAGTCTCGGAGGGCTCGAGTCCGAGTGTCGCGAGTCAGCGAGTCCATTGGCAACTCCGAAGGCCGAGACCGAGAACCGAGCCAAGGAAAACGGTCTCGAGACCGGTTCGAGACCAAGACGTCTCGGGCGAGACGCTAACATGGTCATACATGAATGACCGTGGATGTTTGATGTATGTTGTGCATAATGAATCGACCGGTGGAGTGTTTGATGTATGTGTTCATACATGAATGACGTGGATGTTTGATGTACGTGTGTCAACATGAATACCGGTGGATGTTGATCAGGAGTGTCAGCGATGGCTGTGCAGTGAACTCTTCGCTGGAGGCTTGCAACTTCTTCAGCCTCTCAATCCGTTCGAAGAAGAGAAAGGAGAAATGATTCGAAGTAGTTCTACCACCACCACCCCGGGTAAGTGGTAATTCCTGCTCTGTGTTGCATCATTATAGACTGTTAGTGTAGTGTAGTCTGAATCCGTTTGAAGAAGAGAGAGGGGAAATGATTCGAAGTAGTTTTACCACCACCACCCCGGGTACGTGGTAATTCCTGCTCTGTGTAGCATCATTATAGTTTGTTAGTGTAGTGTAGCCTGAATCCGTTTGAAGAAGAGAAAGGAGAAATGATTCGAAGTAGTTTTACTAACACCACTCCAGGTGCATGGAAACTCTCGAGTTGAATTTCTTTAGCAAGACTGTTTTGCATGTCACGCATACGTACGTTGTGATGTGTGTCACGCACTACTAGGCTGATGGTCTTAGTTTAATGACGCATACACATAAATTACACATGAAAAACCCAGTGTTCTGTTCTTTGTTCTATGTAACGTACTTTTTTTGTGGTATTTCTTAACTTTCTTAGACTCCACGCCGACAGAGCCGAATGTTCTTAAGCTGGACAGTAAGATGGAGGATAGTGTGAGATTGCAGCCTTCCCTGGGTCAGAACATCCACACTGACACGACAGCTCCTCTGCTGCACGCCCTCGCTGAGAGCAGACTGCAGGAACCTCAGGTAAGTTAACGAGACAGAGATGCCAACCACTATGATTTATCCGTATTTTATACGAATCCTTTTGCACCACTACGACCAGTTTGTATCAAACTACTAATTTCACTGTTATCGGAAAAAAAAAAATTTCCGTCAATTATTGACATTTTTTTTCAATTTATTGTCATTTTTGACCCTCAGAATGCAGGAAATTGCATCTCAGAATCAAAAATTTTTCCGGAGGGCATGCCGGACCCCCCTAGCAAACTCAGGTCACTACGTGACCCTCGAACTACTAATTTGATGGCCAGCATGCCGGACCCCCCTAGCAAACTCAGGTCACTACGTGACCCTCGAACTACTAATTTGATGGCCAGAAACTACAGATTGCTTCAAATATGTGTTGGCATCTCTGACGAGATCACAGGTTGAGGTGTAGGGTTAAGTAAGATGTATTCTATACTGTATCGCATTACTATTAATCAGAGAGTTATAGCGACTTGGCATTGATTTGATGCAGGTGAAGTCGTTACTGCTACACATGGAGCGCTACTGTAAGAGCCATCACATGACCATGCCTATTGACTTTCCTGCTGATCACTCAGTAGAAGAGGTTGGCAGGTAATGTCTCCACACATTACTCTCTGTTAACCATTTGGCAAGATATTGCCCGTTTCGCAATATAATTCGCTCGAAATTTGGTTCATATTGGCAAGAGCAGTCTTGGAAATGTCAGAAACCCCAGCCAGTTTTGATGATTGCATATTTAGATTTCTAGTGTATAATCTATTGATGAAATTTGGATTTCTATTAAAATCTCTATACCAAAAACTCCGCTGGTTTTGACCATGTTTATTTCTACTATGTAACCTAAGGTAAAATCCATAAAAATGAGTCTGTCCTGCTCAAATCCGGCTCAATCCAGCAGCTCCCTAGCTTTTCCTCTGGAGTTCGTTGGTATAGTTTACCTAGTATAGTTCCACGTTGCCTCAGTGTCAATCATCATCATCATTAGGTTGCTGCTGGCGGTGCTGCTCAAACATCAGGACCTCGCTCACGTCGCTCTCACGCTCCTCCTCGATGCTGGCGGCGGCGGCGGCAGCAGCAAAGCAGCAGCGGCGCGTAGACATGCAGGAGCATGCTGCTCACTATCACCAACATCACGGTCACCACCACCGCCACGCACAGCTGCCGCGGTCGCTCGCAGACGTCTGTAAGACCGTGCAGCAGTGCAAACGCTCGCTCATCAAGGTATGTTTACTGTTGTCTCATCAAGGTATGTTTACTGTTGTCTCATCAAGGTATGTTTTACTGTTGTCTCATCAAGGTAATTACTGTCGTCTCATCAAGGTAATTACTGTCGTCTCATCAAGGTATGTTTACTGTTGTCTCATCAAGGTATGTTTACTGTTGTCTCATCAAGGTATGTTTACTGTCGTCATGCTGCGTTGTCAGGGTTCAGTAGTCAGGCGTGCGGTCGTTGCGCTGAGTGTGGTTGCATGTTTTTGAAAATAGCGGCATCGATATCCTCAAAATCTTGTGCAAGACTTGATGACCAGTGCTTTTAAAACTATGATTTCGTGATGTTCTGATTCTCAAGTTATGGAGGTATATGTGCTGTTAACAGAAGTTTTGTTTACCTACTGCTTGCTTCTATTTTTTAAACATTAATCTCCTCTGGTTGATTTAGCACCTATGATCTAAGGGCAAGGCTCGACACTAACTTTTTATGCACAGTGGCCGAACGGCGGCAGCGGCGCCAGCACAAAATCATTGATTTTTGCATTTTGGTGGCCCGAAATGAAATCTTGGTGCACCGAAAAAAAAAACAAAGAAAAACATTATAAATCTTTATTTCAATCTCGTAATTGTATATATTTGAAAAATTGGTAGCCGTCTGATGCACTTGCAGCAACGGAGTCTTTAAACCAAACGCCCACAGCAATACGCCCACACTGACATTGATGATTGAGGCATACATTTAATTATCCATTCCCAGCGGGCATCAAATTTTGCAACCAGAACTCTTAGCATACATTTTCTACTTTCAGCTCATTATTTACAAAACAGCGCGTGACGTATCATTGAAACCGTTCCGGCGCGGTATGATATGCTGCACGTGCGCTACGTGTGGCCGCATTCGCTCCGCGAAAATGTGCTCGCTGCTCTGTTTGAATGAGATTAGCACGTAAGAAAGCAATTATTTTAGCAACAGTAGACACTGTTTGAAATTTAGTGGCCCAATCGGGCCACAAAGATTTTAACTATTTGGAAATTTTTGGTGGCCGCGAGCATCAAGTTTGGTGGCCCGGGCCACCGGGCCACCCTAGTGTCGAGCCTTGTTCTAAGGGTACGCGCATTTTTAGTATGTTACCTAACAGGTTAGTCATGACCCTTAGTATTGTATCAGTATGTAACTGTTGTTGGTCTAGCTTGCTTCACACATTGTGTTGTATCCGCAGTATACAAGCTGTTAGAACAGCTAAACGACATTAAAACAGAACAGATCAAAATCAGATGAGAACAAAAGGCATGAAGAAAAATAAGTAAAAGGTGAAAAGGTCATCAGAACAGACAACTCGATGTAAATCGCACGCACAGCTAAAATGGAAATGTTTCTCACGCCGTGTGTGCGCGTGAATCTTGCAGCTGCATCAGGACATGAGTCGATCTTACAAGGAGGTGTGTGCTCCCATCATAGAGCGCTGCCGCTTCCTACTGTTCGAGCTGAGGCCGGCGAAGGGAAACGAGGGCACCACCGTCACTCGCCTGAAGCTTCTCACAACGCTCCCTAGATGGCGCAGCGTGATAAGGAAGATGATTCACAAGAATCGACAAGAGAAGAGTACGTATGGCGTGTTGGGTGGGGTGGAGTAAAGGTGCACGTTACAAGGTAAAAGAATAAATTAATAATCTTAAACTTGCTTTGCTACTTGCTGGCTTTTGCCTCATACCTCGAAGTATTTCATATTCGTTATCTTCTGCATCTGTGTGGGTTTTGTATGTATTCATTGTATTCACTAATATGTTAATCATGCATTCATCATGAACGCTTGTTGTTCGTGCGTTTTCTTCAGGACTTTCTAAACCCGATGTCCCCGAGGATGGAGTAGGAGACAGTAAGGTGGCTGCAGGCCTGCAGACGGAGGCAGCACTAGCGGCTGATGCCGATACAGACGCAGGTCAACAACAAGCAGACCCTGACAACGTCGAGCCAGCGTCACCCCAACGCAGGAAGGTGATGATCAATGTGAAGCTGTTCTCAAGCATGTTGTCAAAGTCGAGAAATTGAATCGTCATAGTAGAGG